CACATTTCTTGGTGCATAGTAGGTCCACAGTCAGCAGTTGTGGAATAACAAATGCATAGTTTGTAAAGTGTCTGTTTCATGGATATTCTTCCCCTTCATACCTAGCCATATCATGGGATTCCAATCTTCAGAATGCTTTATTTATTATTTCCCAAGACTGTATATCATCGGAGAGGAGAAAACCTTGAGTACTCAGAAGCAAAGAAGTGTTCAACATACTTCCCCTATTCTGTAAAATGAGCATAAGAATAATACTTGTCTTTGGATCATTTTAAGAATTAAGTAAGATAAAGCACATAAAGTTATTCATAGAGTACCTGGCACAGAGCATGTGCCCAGTAAATGTTTAGTTGCACAGAATATGTGCCCGATAATTATTCAGTTATAATTATTACATCTACCTCCCATGAACTTAACCTCTGATGCACAGCCATTGTGGATCTCTGCATCTTACCTGGAGTTTGTCTAATGTAAGGAACTGGTCTGCTCCACACCTCCACATCTTTAGGTTTGTCTGTCTTCTATCCACATTTCATTCTGTCTACTAAAATGTCTTTGATCTCTTTTTCTTAACTTGGGTACCAAAGTGCTGATGCACATTGCAGTGTTCAGTTTCTTTAATGGTCAAAACTGATGTGTCATGACTGAGTCTCTGAGGTTCCCAAGGAAAAAGGTGATATACTTAGAATGCACAGCTTGTCTGCTTCCTTTATTATGGATTGCTGGAAACTTTGCCCAGTACCTAACATTTCTCACATAGATCTTGGCATTATTATTTTTTTATCGCTAAAGGGTCTAGGGGGAAAACAAAGAACCCCATTATATGGAATGCAGAGTTCTTGGAAATACAAGAACTTACCCAAACAATGCATTCGACTTCCTGCTTCATTTGACATTGCATGTTAAAATAAATTTAAAGAACATTGCAAAAGGAAATAATTCACTCAAATGTCATGTTGTGCCTGTGTACATATTTTGAATTGTTGTAATCATAAGTGTATGTATAATTTTACACCCTGCTTTTCAGTTTAAAATTATTGGGAAACACTTTCTATGTTGCCATTCAAATGCGACTCTGAAAAACCTTGTATATAGAGCTTTTTATTCTTTGGGGCTGTATTTTTACATTACTGTCTTCTAGTTCTCCTCTTCATATTCCCAACAACTCCTAATCAGTATTCTTATTTCTCTTCTTCCACAGTCTCTCAAACATAGTGGTCTCTCAATTTTAGTCTCTGCATCTTCTGTCTTTCCTTGTATTCTGCTGGAGTGGTCTTTTCTACACCTGTAAGTGTGTCTGAACATGCTAAATGTACATCTCCAGACCCCATCTGTCTTCTGAACCCTTAAAGAATCCTGGGCATAAAGGACTCGTAGTTGTAGTAGGAGAAAGACAAAACCACATTGCAAAAACTCTTGTATGGAGATATGTACTTTATCCTACAGTTATAAGAAGCCATGAATGGGTTTCATGCTCTTAAAGGAGTCATTATATCAGCACTTTAGAAATTGCTCACTGAATATCCTGAGTCACTCCTTCCATACCTAAAGCTTGAGAAGCCCAAAACAGAACACACTGTCTTTCCCCCGTACTTTTTCTGTAGTTTTTTTTTCCCTTAGTCACTAGATTAATCCAAGGTGGAAATCTTAGCTCCATCTCTGATTTTTCTCTCTTCCTCATATCCACATAAAACTAGATAATGTTGCCCAACTTCTTATCTCTTGCTAACTTTATTGGTTAGGTCTCCTACTTTGTTTTTAAGTCTTCAACTTTTCTCCATTAATCCCAATCCACCCCATACCTTCCATTCCACAGTTTATTTCTAAAGCACTAATATACTGAATCTTTTATGAGCATGAAACCCAATCATGGCCCCTTAAGAATTGTAGAATAAAGTACATATCTCCACATACTTATAAATTGTAGAATAAAGCACATATCTCCACTTACTATACCTATGAGCCCGTTCTACCCAAGATCCATTGAAGGGACATTGAGGAGCTGTGAGTCTTCTAAGTTCCTGGAGTAACATAAAAGAACACAAAAACAGTTGTTTGACAGAAACTTGGTAATTGCATTGGATTCAATTTCTTTCCAAGTTATAGGAAGCATGCAATGTATGAGTCCAGACCTAGCGAAAGAGAAATGTTTTCACAAAGCTTTTCACAAAGCCACAATACTTTGGCAGCTTCCTGTTGTTCTCCCATTTCCTGGTCCCACCCCCACTAGTCACTCAAGGTATAAAAGGGACAGAGGAGATGCCCCTGATATTGTCCAGAGGCCTCATTCTCTTTGATGCTCCATGGTTCATAGCACTTCCAGAAAGTTCACCTTTATTCTTTAAATTTTAAAAACTACCTAACTTTTTAGGAGAAGATGATTCTCTTCAGTGGAATGGAGGATGGAAGCAGAGATGGCAAGACTGTATTAATACTAACACAACTGGTTGAGTCAACAAAAGTGAAAGATCCATCAACCCACTGTGCAAATGTATGGTTGTATTTCCCTGTTATGCCTTCAGGAGCCTTGGTAGGGAAAGGAGGACGACAGTGCATTTGAAGTTTTTCTTTCTGCCTGTGCTGCTAGTTCGTAGGAATAGTTCAGTGATTCTCTAATAATACCTGAGGAAGTAGTCCTCCTGACACCTTGCTCCTTTACCCTTTTGCATTCATGCTATTCTGTCTTCCCAGGACGCTTTCCTTTTCAACTGCTGTCATGTAAAATCTTCTCCATCCTTCAAGGTCCAGTTCAAACCTATCTCTACTGTACAACCTTCTCCAGACTTGCCTCCTCTTTGCAGAATGCACAGTACCCCATTCATGCCTCTGCACTCCCAGTTGTTTGTTCACATTGCTGTTGAGCACTTTCCACCAGACCTGCTGTTGGTGTTTTCTAGTCTGTTTCACATTTGAGACTATGACTTCCCTTCCTCCTGGGCCATCTCTCATTCCTCTTTAAATTTCCAGTGCCTAGTATCATGCCTTGATTGCAACGGGCACTCATAAAGGCTTACTACATTTTAAACATTTAACTGCTGTGCGCTCATAATATTTTGTATCAGTGACACAATCATTTCAATGACTTTTGATTCATAATTCATAATACATGATTTATAATTTGTATTGACAAAGCCATGCACCGCCCTTTGTTGGGTGGCAGGCTGCAATGAAAGAGAACCTCTCCGATGTATTTTTCTTCCCTTGGCCTCTGTTAAAATGGAGGATCTTAGAAGTTTCTCTGGATGGAGATGATAGCCTCTGGAGAATGGACTCCTTATCACCTGGTTACTTCACATACAGCTTCCTGCACAGAGGCATCAGAGAGAGTTACCTAAAAATCTTCTCCAAAGAAAGATCTTAAAGGACATCTGAAGAAAATTTATCCCATTTGAGACAAAAGCATAATTGGATTTGTTAGAAAAGAAAGAGGTAAAAATAAATAGTGCACCAGACACTGGGCTCTTTAGGAGCAGAGAAATGCTTTATTCAGGTCGACTCAGTGCACCACAAATGTATGCAGCCTTTGCCCTCAGTGGAAACTCAGTCGGGGAACTATCCACATTTGTTGATGTCAATATTTGTTGAAAAGGATGCATGAATGAGTTAATGGGGCTTTAAAATCGGTTAACAAATCTTCAGTCATTTCTTAGGGACTTTTGGAAATTCTTACCCACAACCCCTCCCCATGCAGAAATTATCTCTCCATGTAATAAGAGAGTGAAGACAGCAAATTTTTACAAGTAGCCATGTATAACAAAACTAGAAGAAGATTTAGAAACCAGCAAGCCCGGTATTCTGGCTAAAGTGATGTTTACATGAATTGGTTATATCCAGGTGGTCAGATACCTTGAAAAACTTACTTATGCTCTATAAGCCTCAGTTTCTTAACCTAAACAATAGGAATTATGGCTCCCATCCTGACCATTTATCTTGAATATTACAAGACAAAAATGTGTACGGAGATCAAAGCATTGCCACAGAATGGGCCTCTGATGAGAGACATTTTCCTCTATTAGATAGTCAGAATATGACCTCACCATCCAGAATGATACACGAGGATACTTCTATAAGGGAAATTGGCTGAGGAGCTTCTCACAGAAGCCTAAAATCTGGCTGGGCGACTAACCCCCACGGCTACTCCAATATTCCAACTCTTGGGCCATTTCAAATGTACAATTTTGAACAGTTGCTTCTAATTCAGGGTGTTACGCTATTCTGGTTTAAGCTGGGTGCCGTGGAGGAATGAGGCAGGATCCACAAAACACCCGGAGATAGCCAGGAAGGCTTCTCAGAGGAAAGAACACCTGAGTTGGCATTTGTTGGAAGTGTAAGGCCTAGTCATATGGATGAGAGTTGAGCAACAGGGCCCGGGGACATGGGAGAAGGATTTAGGGAGGAAAAGGAAATCTGATACCTGACGGACTGTCAGTCTTGCTATTCAGAAGAGCGAACATAATTTGGGGGAGTGGAGAGCTATGAAAGGACTTCAGGGAGGAAGTGGCATGATCAGATCTGTGCTTTAGCAATTCTGGGTAGAGAACAATAGTGTCTATTGTTTGGGGATTGGAGCCTACCAGTAGGGCAGTAGGCAGAGCTTCCAGAAAACAGAGCTGTTGGTCCCAGAGCTGTTGGTGAGAAGTCAGACAGGGTGGAAGGAGAAGACTGGCTGGAGGTGAGATCCATCAAGGAAGTAGAATCTACTGACTTAGAGTAGCCTCACGTGGAGTGTGGGGAAGAGGAAGGCAACCAAGGTGAAACCAAGGATTTTGATTTGGGAAATGGTGTGAATAGTGATGCCACTCATGGATATAGAAAGCCTAGGTTTGGGGGTAGGAAAATGATGAGTCTGATTTGGGACCTGTTGAAATTCAGGAGGCCCTGAAAGCTCGAAATAGAGATGCTCAGCAAACATGTGTGTAAGGCCCACCAGCGTCTATGACTAAGAGAGAGAACTTCTCGTGCCCCTGTCGAATCTGACCGCTTGCATTCTCTGTTTCCAGTACTTTGTCTTCACTGGGGTGTTGGCCATGGTGACCTGCGCTGTCTTCCTCCGACTTAACTCTGTCCTGAAGCTGGCAGTGCTGCTGATCATGATTGCCATCTATGCCCTGCTGACCGAGACCATCTACGCAGGTCTCTTTCTGCGTTATGATAACCTGAACCACAGTGGAGAGTAAGTGCCCACCTTTGTGAGTTCAAAAGTGCTCAACTTTCAGTGGGAATCAGCACCATTGGAAAACAATGGAGGTAGGGGTATTGAAACTTGGGGATGGATTGGATATTGACTTATACCTCGACTCAGGCACTCTCCAGCTTACAGGTCTAAGCAAAACACCTACTTTTCAGTTGTATCATTTATTTGAATTACAGATTAATTAATTAATCAAAATTTGGACTAAATAGTCGCCAAATAGTAGCTCAGATCTCCTCCAATCCTAATAATTTATAATGTCTTCAACTTTAGTGGCTTTAACACTTATAGGATCTGGTTATAATTTGGCTTTAGCAATTTTAATAACAGCAGCTACTGTGTATTAAGCACCCTATCCTTTGCATTATACAGTTGGCCCTCTGTATCCACAGGTTTGCAGTTGTGGATTCAACCAGCTTCAGATTGAAACTATTCCCCAAAAAATCATTAAAAATGATAACAATAAGACAAATAAAAACAGTATTGTATAACAACTATTTACATAGCATTTACATTGTATCAGTTATTATAAGTAAACTAGAGATGATTGAAAGCATAAGGGGAGATGTATATAGGTTATATGCAAATACTGTGCCAATTTTTATATAAGGGACTTAAACATCCATGGGGCTGACATCAAGGGACAACACTATTCTTTTTGAAATATAGTAAAATACAAAAAATAGTGTCTTACCTAGATTCCTTAGAGAAAAGAACCTGAGGCAACACCAATGCAACCCCAGGACAGTGCAAGTAAGGAAGGAAAAGGAGAGTGAGGAATTAAAAAATGGAAGGCAATTGCAAGCGACCGCCATATTATGCAGGCAGCATGGTTTCTTGGAAAATCCACTCACTAAGATGTCTCTGAATAGGCTGTAAGATGTGGGAAATTTTCTCAGGACAGAGAACAGAGGAATATGTCTTCTGACTTCTCCCTTCCTTCTCCCATTGGCTACGGTTCACTTTTTGGACGCACTTCCTAGTGACATTACTTGGCCTCTTCCCTTACCCTTACTGGGGTAAGCTGACCCCACACAGGAAGTGGTGGAAGAAGCCAGACATTGAATAAAGACCTGACTGATTGGCCTCAGATGTGGAAAGCACACAGGTCTAGCTGAGGCCAGAATGGTGGCAAACAGTCCTAGAGAAAGGTAAGGTTAAGATCATCCAAAAAGTCTCAGGAAATGTACCCAAAACTAATAAAAGGGACATATATGAACCAACTCCAGGAAATAAACAATGTTAATAATTATTAATATTTACATATGTATTTTATAAAGGATAAAGCATTTCAGATGTTGAAATTCCCTTCCCTGGTGTTATTCTCATCTCCATTGCCAAAAGGCAACTTCTAATGCACTTAACATATATCCTTCCCATCCATGTTTTATGTACGTATATTTAGCTGTGTCTGTGTCTATAAATTATTTATAATATTCATTTGTTGTCATGCAATATTATCTTCTTAAGATCCATCTAGGTTGATATTTGTGGATCTAATTTATTTTAGCTGTTGTCTGTACGTGTTATATAACATGAAGGTATCTTTTGACCTAGTAATAGAGACATTCAGGCTGTTACCAGTTTTTCCTATTATAAAAAATGCTTCGGTGATCATCACAGAACATGTCTCCTGGGGACTTATATATAAAAGCACACTTGCTAAATTGTAGCATATATGCAGTTTCCTTTTTTTAAAATGATGCTCACACCTGTAATCCCAGCACTTTGGGAGGCAGAGGTGAGAAGATTGTCTGAGCACAGAGGTTGGAGACCAGCCTGGGCAACTTGGAATGACCTCATCTCTACAATACATCAAAAAAAATTTAGCCAGGTGTGGTGGTGTGAGCCTGTAGTTCCCGCTACTTGGAAGGCTGAGGTGGAAGGATCACCTGAGCCCAGCAGGTCGAGGCTGCAGTGGCCATGAGCATGCCATTGCACTCCAGCCTGGGTGACAGAGTGAGACTCTGAATTAAAAAATAAATAAATAAAATAAAATGTTGCTAAATTGCTCTGGAACATGACTGAAACAATTTCCATTTCATAAGCAGTGGTCCTGTGGCTCCCCGTACCCTGTCACCATCAGATTTTTTAAATGTTTGCTTGGTTATGGGTTCTGATTTTACCTCATTGCTTTCTTCGCATTTCCCTGATTAGGAATAAAATTGTGCATCTTTGTGCTTGTTAATTGACTATTTGAGTTTCCTTTTACATGAATTGCAAGGTCCTATTTTTTGCCATTTTTTGTTGTGTCACCTTTTTCTTCCTGGATTTGTAAGATTTTGTTGTTGTTAATTAACAAATAAAAATTGTGTATGTTTATAGCATACAACATGATTTTTTGATATAAATATACATTGTGGAATGGCTAAATCAAGCTAATTAACATATGCATCACTTCACAGACATTTTTGTGGTGAGAACACGTAAAATCTACTCATTTTCATGTCTACAGTACATTATTATTAACTGTACTTGCTATGCTGCACAACAGAGCTCTTGAATTTTTTCCTTCTATCTGAAATTTTGCAATCTTTGATCAAAACTGCCTCAATTTCATGCCATACACCTTCAAGCCTCTGGTAACCACCATTCTATTCTCTGCTTGTACGAGTTCAGCAATTCTAGATTCCATATATAAGGTGAGAATAAGCAATGTGTGTCTTTCTGTGCCTGGCTTATTTTCTTTTCTCTTTTTTATTTTTTTTCATTTTAAAGATGTGGAGTACAAGTCAGGGCTAAGTATACAAAATGTTGATTATGCGGGTACCCTTGTTGATGTTGTGTGCCCCTCCCTCCCCTGGCAGTTTCCCACTATTGCCAATCTCTTTCAGATTGAAACTGGACCCCTACCTATCGCCATACACAAAAATTAACTCTAAACGGCTTATTTTCTTAACACAATGTCCCCCGGGTTCATCTATGTTGTTGCAAAATGGCGGGTTTTCTTCTTTTTTAAGGCCTAATAGTATACCACTCTCCATATACCACATTTTCTTTATCCATTGACGGACACTTTTAGGTTGCTCTTCCAAGTTCATTGCAGCATTATTCCCAATAGCCAGATATAAGATTCCTTGTGTATTTTAGGTACTCATGTCTGTTTCACATGTGTGTCATGCACTTTATGTGCTTTACCCTATTTCATTCTCACAGCAACATTCTAAAGAGCATGGGTTCTGCTGACCTCTGAAGAGACGTTAACAACTACCCAGGTTCATATGGCCAGTAAATAACAGATCTGGATTCAAACTTGGGTTTTCTGGCTCCAAAGTTCACCCTTGTAAATACTGCATGCACCTCTTTAAGTCACGCTTGAAAACCTCCACAGGTTGCATGCAGTATCCTCTATTCCCAGGAGTCAAAGGAACTCAAAACAGTTTCAAATTAGGAAAGATGATTAGCGGCAACAGATATCTCATGGTCACGCAGAAGTGAGCACAAAAGAGGGCAGAGAGATGGATAAACAAAATAGGCCACCTTTGTAGTAAAAATAAGAATAAAAGCTTCTAAAATGTACTCATTCAATGGGAGGCAGAGTGTTAATGGAACAAGCCAGGGTTGTTGGCTTCAAATCCTGACTCTGTTGCATTGGGAAATCACTTTTCATCTCTGGATCTCAACTTGCTAATAATAGGTAAAGTGAAAAATATATACTCTGTCTATAATAGCTCAGGCTGACATAACCAAAATAATACCAACTGGGTGGCTTAAATAACAGAAATTTGTTTTTCAGTAATCTGAAGACTGAAAAGTCCTAGATCCAAGTTCTAGCCAGTTTGGTTTCTGGTGACAGGTCTCTTCCTGGCTTGTAAACAGCCACCTTCTCGCAATCCTCATGTAGTGGAAAAAAAGAAAGTTTTCATGTCTCTTTCTCTTCTTATAAGGGCATCACCCTATCGTGTTACAGCCCATCCTCATGACTTCATTTAATCTTAGTTATCTCCTTGCATACCCTATCTCCAAATGCAGTTTCACTAGTGGTTAGATCTTCAACACAAGAATTTTGGGGAAGATAATTCAGTTTATAGTGCTGTCTAGGGATGTTGTAAGGATCTTTGGTGCCTGGCACATAGTAGGCACGCAATATATGTTCATTCCTATTCCTTTTCTCCTTCTTAGGAGAGAAGTTGAGATCCACATTCTGCTTTGAAGTCTTCATTTTAAAAATTGTAGTAGAATTCTGAAAGAAAACATAACTTCAAATTCATGCATCTGATAATCAAGTTTTTTTTTCAACTTTTTCCTGACTCAAGGTCAATCATTGCCTCACTTTTTGCCTCACTTTTTGATATCAACAGAACTAAATTAATAAGAAATGAAAGAGCTCAGCCAGCCTTCCGTCTCAGCAGTTTATAAATCAACGATTCAATAGTCCCTGTGTATTGTACTGGCCATTGGATGTTGCTTGTACTGTTGGGATTTAACCAACACTTTAGGAGCGCACATTCATTCAGTGGCATTTCTGCTGACTGTTGCTAAGTGTTAGGAATTGGGAAAAGCAGAGAAAACGTAAAAGATGGGAAGCATGAAGAACTTTGGACACAGTATCTTGGCTGCATCTGCATTGGGATAGTCCTGAACACTTCAGACTGGTGTCTCCCAATCTGCTCATCAGACCCCTTCACAACAATCCACTGTCTCAACTCATGGCACTGAGCTCAAAACAGGAGGAGAGGCACCCTCTCCCCCAACATCTGATCCATTGCTAGAGATTCATCTTACTCAATATTCCTTGTAAGGAAGCACTGTATCATAACCCTGTGAGTACAAGTTTAGGAGTTAAGCCACCTGGATTTAAATCCAAGTTGTGCCACCAACCAGGCGTGTAATCTTGATCAAATCCATTTTAAATGATTTAACTTCTCTAAGGCCTGTTTTTATCATCAGTAAAGTGGAAATAATAATAGTCCTTAAGTTGTAGGAATATAGAAGGAAACAAATGTGTTAATAGAAGCTTGGCACAAGGTCTGACACAGAAT